TATATATATATATATATATATACACACGCACACACATATTTTTTGTGCATATAGCTGTGTCTCAAAATTAAAGGTTATAATGATCCCTAAAATAACGAAATAAAATCCCTATAAATTTGCAATATTTTCAAGTTAGTATACACAAATATTTCTTTGGGTAATCTAACTGCAATTTGTATGTTTTCTGACTTTATGTTTACAAGGTTTCTCGACCGGCAAACGTTTACATTTTGGATCGTGTGTGTAAGAAATTTTATTCTTTTTAACTACTGTATACATATATTATAGTATATCGAAACTTTACGTTATTTTAACCTTAAAAAATTTATTAAAATAATTATGAAATATTTAACTAAAATCATAATTTACGTTCCCATTAAAAATGATTTTGTAAATGTTTGGTGATAAAAAAATTATACGTAGATCAACATTAATTTCATAAGTTTTTGAATAACAATGGTGATGGAAGAACAACAGTCTGATATGGAACTAGATTCGGAAAGAGTTCCTGTACCACAAGTACAAAAGTCGATGGAAGATTCGCATATAGAAGCAGTTAATAAGGTTACAAACATTTCTAGAGGGAAACCTCGACTTAGGAAAAAGGCACTTCATGCTACTATACTTAAACAAATGGAATTTTACTTCAGTGATGCAAATTTGAGTAAAGACAGGTTTTTAAGTAATTTAATTAAGGAAGACCCATGTAAGATTAATTAAAGCTTTATTTATTTATATTGTTACATTTTATTAATTATCATCTAACATTTTAAGATGTTTTAATTTTTTAATATTTTAGATGTTGATCTCAATGCTTTTCTAAACTTTAATAGAATAAAGGAATTAACTAGTGATATAAATAGAATAGCTAAAGCTGTGCAAACATCTACAATGTTATCATTATCTGAAGATGGAATAAAAGTTCGTCGTGTAACACCAATAGTACCAAAAGGAAATATAGATGAATGTACAGTTTACGCACAAAATTTGCCTCCAGATTCAGACCATGAAACATTGAGTTCAATATTTTCTCAATATGGTCCAGTTGTATATGTTTCTATTCCACGATTTAAAAATAATAAGAAGATAAAAGGTTTTGCATTTGTAGAATTTGATACACCTGAGAGTGCTAAGAAATGTTTAAAGGTAAAAGGAATATATAGTTGATTTGAACGTTATAGTGCATTTGCAAACTTTTCTATTAAATAACTTCAGTTGATATCAAGATAACATTATTGAATTGTAGTAGCAAATAGCAAAAAATTGTTAATTAGAAGTTTGAATTTTAACATAATTCATTAATTATCACTTATCAATTTATTACTACCAAATTGCTTGCAATATTTTGAATATTTAAAAGAATGTAGGATATTTTTAGATTTTGAAATCAAATACACATAATAATATAAAAACTTTTAAATTATGTCAGACTATTACATTAATAATTTATTTCAGGCATTTGATAAGAAAGGTTGTGTTTTACCATCATACACAGCTCCTGATGAACTTTTGAGCATTACTACCTTTGATGAAACAGAGAAGGATATAACATTATTGAAAAATAAAAAGAAATTAAACGAAAAAGGTGACTATATTGAAAATATTGTTGATAATAAAGAGCCACAAGATATAATGATGATTAAAAAAGATAACAAGGAAGAACATGTAACTAATAATACTTCAGAAAATCATGAAAATAATAACAAAAAAAAAGCAAAGAAGAGAAAATATTTGGATGGAGACTCTACAGAACCAATTGAAACAGAAAAACAAACAGATAATGAATTAATAAAAAGTAAAAAGAAAAAACCTAAACATTTTGATGATTTACATACTGAGGACACTGAATCATGTAATGAGAAACAAAATACTGCTTCATTAGAAGATACACCAAAAAAATCAAATAAATGTAAGAAGAACATATCTATAAACAAAGAACAAGTATCAGATATCTGTGTTGATGAAAATGAGCAAATGGTAACTGATGACAGCACCATTTTATATAATGTAGAACAAAACATAAGTGAAAAGAAAAAGAAAAGGAAAAAACGAAAAAAACGAAGTAAATTAGAGGATTTTAGTTATAATATAGGATTACAGGTGATGGCTAAAAAAGACTGGAAGTATCTTAGGAATAAATATCTAGAATTACAAAAAAGTAAGATGAAGCAACTTAAACAGCACTTAAAAAAGACAAGATGGAATCAGTGGTCTAATTATGAAAAAAATAAACCTGAGAGAGAGGAGAATGATGAAAAGATCAAAATGAGTAAACAAAATGTCACGACTACATGTCGTTTCTCATTTACACCAGGAGTTATAGTTAAAATTGAAATGGATAAACCATGTATAGATTCAAAAAGTTTAAAGGTATATATACCACTCGAGTATAAAAATACAGTATAGGTATAAAAAATAAGTATACAAGTTTTGTGTATGTATCTTTTCAGATGGAATTAAAAAATAATAATTCTGTAAAATATATAGATGTTGAAGATGGCTCTTGTCTAGCTTATGTGAGATGTGATACTACTGAAGCTGCACAAGCATTTACACAAAGATCAAATGATGAAAGGCATGTGACAGTACTAGAAGGTAAGAATACGTTTTTGTGTATATCTCTATGGAAAACAATTACATTTATATTATTATGTAGGCGATGAAGAAAAAATGTATTGGAACAAAATTTTACATGACAGAGAAGAAAAATTGAGTAAAAAGGTTAAAGTTAAACAAAGAGGAAGGAATAAATTACTGAAAAAAGCAGAGAAAGAACTTGGAAAGCATATCAAATTTGATGAAGTGTAAATTTAGAGAACTCCTTTTTCTGAAATATATTGAATAATTGTACATAAAACATAAAAGGTTTTATATTACGAATTTAGTTACAAAAAACATAAATGACAAATAATATTTAACACAGTGTTGGTGTAAATAAATCATATATTGTTTTCATTGTTTCAGTTGTATCTTAAAAAGTATTTATATTCTAATTTGATGAAATTAAGGAATTGATATCACTTCATATGTCTTTATATAAAAATTCATTATACTTTACTTTTCTACCATTTTCCCCTTCCACGACTTTTACCAAATCCTCCTCCACGGCCTTTAAAACCACCACCGCCACCTTTTCCAAAACCACCACGTCCAAATGATGGTCTACCTCCACCTCGTCCACCACCACGTCCTCCACCACCTCTTCTTACTCCTCGTCCACCTCCACCTCCTCTCTTTTGTTCTGATCCAGGAGGCTTAGGTAAAAACCTTTGTAAAGGTAGCAATTTTGCAGGATCTATAAATAACTGAAAAATGGAACATTAATAAGTAATGGAAATAGTCCTTAACTTTGATTTATGCTTACAAAATAAATTATACCTGTGTATCCTTTTGAAAGCTAGATGCCTTTATATTTTCTGATAATTTTATAGACACATAGTAGTCTCTGATGTTACCAAATATTTCATCTATTTTCCCAATTTGTAGTTTGTTTTCCGTGTAAATTGGAGCATTAAAAAAGGGTACTTGCTCTATATCTACTTTAGCCACTAAATCATCTTGCACTGTCCACGTGAAGTGACCCAAAGGTGTCACTTGCTCTGGTGGACCTTGGTCATATCTATAGTATAAAAATTATCGTTAGTTTGTATTCTATTAGAAACTATTAAATATAATAGTTACCCTCTTCCACCCTTATCACCGCCACGACCTCCACGGAATCCACCTCCACCTCTTCCACCACGAAAACCACCGCCACCTCCGCCTCTACCAAATCCGCCACCTCCACGACCTCGAAATGACATTCTTTTATTCTATAGATACTGAAAGAACGGAAGTCATTACATTTTTTATTTAAAAATACACATTAAAAAATAGTATAAATGTATAAAGTGAACCACGTGTCTAACCTGTAAAAGTTGAAATAAATAAAATGAAAATATTCTTATTTCTATACAATTACAAAGCAATTTTCATAATTCAAATTACAGATGAATGAAATATCAAAACTAATTTTGGCACTATATTATTTGCTTAAATGTTATTACAATTCACAATAACAAGGTAGCGGCATTTCTTTCTTGTAGGTTAAACACGTTTTACACTGTTTACAAGATTTGAGTTTGCGCATGCGTACTACAGATGTGTAATGAATGGCTCAAATGATTTAAAAATTTGAGATACTAATTATAAATATATTAACGAATGAAAACATGATATAACATTAATATCATTATTTTATTCACACATAGTATAATTTTAATATGTTTTATATTTTTAAATTCAAGTCTGGAATTGGTTTTCGTTCATTTTACTAAAAAGATTTGTAAAATTTATTTTTTAATTATTTATAAAAAATTATAATGTATAAAATACACTTATAATAACTTGCAACTGTTTATACTGTGATATATTTTAATTTAGAATAAACATAAATGATAGTACTCATGAATTAAACGTAATCTAAAAACTAGGAGTAGTTGTGTAACAGATATGTTGTTATAATGAAATATTCGAAATATAAAAATTCTGATTAGTATTTCAGTTTATTCTAGCTATAATTCGTTAAAAATGCTTTTAATAAATCCAATTTTTTTAAACTATCTTTTATCCATAATTTTATCGTATATTTTAGTGCATTATATTAATCTAAAAAACTATTTAATACCAATGATATTCAATACATTTTATCTTCATTCATATCTCATATGACTATGAATATTGTTTATTTAATTAGCAAACATTGTCATCATTAATATTGAAAACTCTTATCGTGTAATAACGTAACCTTTTGCACAATGTAACTAGTAGATAAAATTAGCCATATTCGTTTTCAAATATCACCTTTATGCAGTGTCACTTTTACTACTGTTTAGATAAGAAGAAAAATACGTCATTCTGAAGCACCTATATAATATTCCACTGCCATAATTGTTTAGTAATAACGACACATAAAGTAACTAGGCGTCAAAGTGTCTATATAATTTGGTAGTCGATATGCTGTATTTTAGTATTTCTGGTCGACAGAAGGGTGCGTACGTCATCTAGTATAATCAGGTGCACGTGAGATGACCGTCTGCTAGACGAATCAGTGGTAAAGTACACGAGATTCCTCGTGACGGTCCCCGGGTAGTTTTGAAAATTTCACCTATTCATCAGTTCTGTGTGATTATGTTACATAGACCAGACGGTTACTGGACGGTATAATGTTCACAGTATTTCGCATGGTACTAATATTAATTCATTTTTCATGCGATTTATTTACCGCGTTTTGTAATTGCTTTATGATCCTTCGTCGTAAGTGTACTGAGATCTGGTACAGTGAGAATTTGAGGACAGAGGTTGAAATGTTAACACGTATCTCGAATAGGATTAAAAAATTGCCGAGACATATAGTGATCATTTTCGGCGCGAAGGAAGACACTGTTTTCGACTGCGTACGAATTATTGGATGGTGTATTACCCTTGGTATACCTTACATCAGTTTCTTTGACATCAGTGGTAACGTTCATTTTTGTTTATATTGCTTTACAATCTGATTGTTGTTATTATTTTTTAAGTATAATTTTTGTTACTATGTTATATAAATGTAATGGGCGAATAAAATTGATCAATGTGAATTTTTAATTTCTTTATGGTAAATAGATCTTGTATTGTAATATACTTTTTGTGCCAGTCATTGTACTTAGATATTAAAAGACAAATATTGTTCTCGTTTTCCAGATTTGTTATTTATATATCATATAGAAGAATTATTGAGTTCAGAAAATAGGAAGAAAAAATGTAGTTAATGTATTTTTTTTTGAGAGATCTAGAAATAATCTATCAACAAAATTTGTAATTTTTCATGACTTAAATTGGACTTTAAATAGATTATTATTAACATTTTTAATAGTGTTAACGTTTTTAAGTTGATTAATCTTACAATTTTCTTATAATGAATTTTGTTCTTAGTTGGAGTAAATTTATTTCATACGTTATGTATTCTAACCTCAAAATCGAAATATATCTTGCCATTAATACAATATTAAAGTTTTCTTTGAAATTACATATTATATATATT